GGTAAAAAGTAATGCGATTCAATTTTTTTTGTCTTGTCTTGAAAACGTCTACGGTATAATCGGACGGAATGACGGACGCCGGCAGGTTGTTTCATTCCTTGGCTGTACTGATGATGAATGATGAATGCGTGGCGCAGTTGCCAAGGCATTGGCTTCGGCGTCAAGGATTATGAGTCCGTCCCACAAGGAACAACTATTTGTGTGACCCACAGATGGTTTCGGATCTGGGTGTTCGCCCACGTCAATTTTTTTTAAATGTCCTTACTACACAGGTTATGTTATCCTAAAGCAAGGGAAATGTTATTGAACAAAAAAATACGATGCGAATCGCTCCTGTTCGTGGAACGTCGTCAGCATAAGTCGTAAATCGTGCACCTCCAACTTACACTCAAATTCGTTGAAAATGTCGTTACGTTCTAGAGACGCCATGAGGCTGGCGTTCAATATACGTCCGCTTCATGGTTTTCCTAGAGCAACTATAAAAATAGGACTGGCCTCGTGCTATTTTTTGACATCATAGACGTGAATTCATATCAGTAAGGTAGATAAAAAAAAACAACACAAACATTATAAGTACATTTTTGAAGTAATATACACAAAAAAAAAGCAAGAAAGAAAAAGTTCTTCAATTTATGTAAAAGATCTTGCTCTGCACTTGCAAGTCCCTTGGCTCCTGCTAATTTTATATTTAAACACTTTTGTGTATAAAATTACATATTTATTTATTTATTGAGGTTTATCAGTAGTTTTACACCCATACAATTTATATTAACAGTACAGTAATTATAACTAAAAACTAAGTCAAAGAAAAATAAAAAGATAAGACCACAGAGTTTCTTGCCGGTTCTTCCCTGACAGGTCAAATTTAGTGAAAGTGGTAGTTTTTGACGTTCAATAAGAGCTTAAAATAAGCCAATGTTGGATAAATAAAAAAAAAATAGGTACTTAATACAAAAAATATTTATTAGCATTTTTTTATCCATAATCTGCACCCCCACGTATTCTCATGTAGTTAGTTTTGTATGGGTAACTCCTCGAACTGTCCAGCAACCTAGGTGCGTGCATATCTTGCAGAGTTTCACCGTCGATGCATAGAGGTGGGGTCGCAGTAGAACAGTAGATTTTACATTGTTATTCAGTTAACTCTCAGCGTTTTGGCGACGCTTGACGGGACAGACAAAGGCAGCTTATGATCTACTATTACCGATGATACCCTAGCAACGTATTTATGGTAATCGCTTTGCCAAAGACTTATTTTTCTCGCAGACCAGAGATAGAGGAAAAGGTGAAATCTGTAAATATTATGCTCAACACAGAAAAAGGTGAAAGTAAACATTAAAAATCCATTTATAAAACACTCTTCGTCCAAAGATGGCCAACACACTTCATACATTGATTTTATTGAGATTGCAACACTACATACCTTTTTTAATTTTATTTGCTAAAAGTAAGCAAAGACATAAAGAACAACTACTTTTTCCAATCATAAAATCTGCAAATACTCCAAAATAATTTCCGTGACCAAAGAAACCTGAAAAAGTCTTGTGAAATTGTGGACATATATACATTTAAAAAACGGTTTAATTGATCCAATTATACTAAGATATGACTATAAAAATTCCGATTATGAAATTGATCTACATATTTATATTTAGTATGTACTAATGCTAAAACTTGTTTACGGACTTTAACAGTACTTAATCTCACTGAATCTTAAATCTGATGTCACAATTACTTTCTGTAGTTTTTTCCGCTGATATGAGCCCGGAGTATGAAAAAATAAATATTCCACAACATATGAAGAGTCGCATTAATCTATTGGTAAGCTTCTAAGCGAGATGTAATTGTGGGAAGCTCATTACCGCCTGCCCCTCATCGGTCCTGTATCAATTACAACGCCTGTGGGATGATTTCCCTAGACAGAACTACGTAGCCAATCGATCTATTGTGAACACGTGACCTGTCAACGCCTCCGTCTGTGAAACATTTGTAACGCGTCATCTTTTTTTTTTGAAACAATCAAAACAATCGGGAAAATCATCGTTTTACAGCACTGAAGCTCTAATAAAAACGAACGCCAATGTTTCGAATTCCATATATTTTAGATGGTGATGATGTTCTGGAAAAATGAACCTCGTGGTCGTCCGGACACTTTGGTCAGTAATGGTGAATTAAAGGCGAATGTGGAAGCTGATGATACGCAATCTATTGCCAAGCTAGCAGCAGCTTTTGATGTTAGCAAAACAATATTGGTTCATTTGTTTGGTCCAACTTTTTAGCGGGAAAAAATTCAATTCTCGAGAGGTAGTTCAAAATGCCTTTGAAGAGTTTGTTACCATCCAGCTGCTTTTTCAAAGAAGGGTATCAATAAAGTACCACTGCGTTGGCAAAGATGCATCGATTGCATAGGTGATTACTACGGATAACAGAAATGAAAAAGTGCACCGGAGTAGGAGTTTTGGGAATGAGAGTCCGAATGTGAAGATAGTTAGATATCGGGAAGTGCAGTGGTTGATTTAGCTTCGGTGGCGTCCTAGGCCCAGTTCGTAATGACACCGTTATTCCTCTGTCTACCTAAGGTTCAAAAACTTAGTTCTATAAAGCCGGTATCTCTTATCCTTTAAACGAGCAATTCTTGTATATATGTATATATATATATATATATATATATATATATAATCGGAATCTCGGAAACGGCTCCAGCGATTTTCATGAATTTTAGTATATGCGTAGATTCGGGGGCGAAAAATCGATCTAGCTAGGTTTCATTTTCAGAAAATGTCCTTTTATCCCTGTTTTCAGGGAATGAAAAATATTATTCGAATATGACGGTAAATTTCGCCGCAAAAGAAAATGTCATAATAGCTCGGTCGGTAATCGGGCGGCTCCAAAACAGAAGGCCGTGGTTTGCGTCACCATCATTTACACATTTATTTTTTTACTTTTTTTTTCGATTCCAGATCATTGCTTTCTTTATTTTTAATTTTTTATCGATTTAGTTTTTTTGTTATTTTTTTCCCTTTTTTTAAAAGTTCTTTCTTTTGAGAAAAAACATCAGTTCATATTTTCTTATTATTAAGTCGGTAAGATCGAAAAATATTACGCATATTTCATTACTCAGTAATTTGTATCTAAATGTAATTTCCAAAATACACGATTTACCAAAAAAATAAACAAACCGAGCAAAGCTCGGTCCTCCGGGTACTGTATATATAAGCCTGCCACAGAAACTAAAATACTTTTGATAAAAAAGATGATCCAACATACGACGGGCTTTCACTAACTAATCGTTTATCTAAATAATTTCTCGCCACCTATTGTCAAATTAATCTAGACCTATTTTTTTCTAGTTTTGTATGTATAAGGAAGGAAAAGAAAAACACAACCATTGTTTTTTCGCTCCAATTCTTCGAAATAATCATTTAAACGCATTCCCTCTCACAAATATCTAATCATGACCCAACAACCAGCTGCCACGTGTGCCTTAGCAAGTTAAATTCGCGGGGAAATTCACTTACAACTCTATTACGCCCCCGAGTGACTACAGCTTTATTGCTTAATATTTGTTGGAGTTTATTATCTTTTAAATTGTAGCAGTGTTTAATAAATGTGATTAAACATTATAAAGAAACTATCCTTTAATAATGCGTTGAAAATATTTATTTGCTTCTGTTGTACATTACGTGTACGTTTACCTTAGACCTAGGTACTTTTGGCATACGCACCACTGTAAATACTTATATTATCCTATATTCATTCGTCTAGTTTATATTAACTTAATTACAAAAAATCAAATGTATGTACAATTTTAATTTTAAATTTAATTTTGTTTGTCTGTTGTTTAAACTTACTTCTTTCATTTAGGATTCAATTATTATGAAAACGAATAATAATAATAATAAAATATCTTTATTCACATAGACGCTTGCGCGTTCTTATGAAACGTCAAAATTTTACAAAGAAATTAACACGTTCGTAAGTTACCACTGGTTCGGAAAGCAGTTTCTGTTGAGAAGAAACCGGCAAGAAACTCAACAGTTGCTCTTTTTAAAAAAATCAGTTTACAATATAATAGTACAGGTACAATAGTCTTGTTTTAGCCTATGTGAGTAGTATCAACAGTATTAACCCCACACATTGGCGTCGTCAAGATATTCGGCAATAGTATAATAGGCTTTAGCCATAAGTTTACTTTTAATTTTTCGTTTAAATTCAACAAGTGGCAGACTTAATATCGACCTTGGGATTTTATTATACATGCGCACACTTTGCCCCATGAACGACCTGTTTACTTTTTGTAGACGAAACAATGGCATAGTTAGTTTACAATGGCGTAGTTAGTTTTAATTACTTGCCCAATAATTCCATTAATAAAATATTTCTGACATATTTTCCGAATAAGTTTGTGTACTATAAAAAGTGAATATAGTTTTAATACAGTGCGGTGTGTAAACAAATTATAAAAATAAGTTAAGACTGTAAGACGGCTTAAATGTTACATTTTATGGTAAAAGACACTCTGTTTGGGTTGCGGAATTATTGGCTCATGTTAAATGTATAGGGACATCGAAATACAACGCCAGTAAAATTGCGGAGTGGAAAGCGGCTTCCATCCCTAGGGAGGCACGTGGGGAGGGACACCTGCGTTCCTCTCGTCTCTACCATTTGTCGTAAACGCACATATTTTGGTGATTCGATACGAGAAATAATCGTGGCGTAATCTCCGGATCGCTTTTTTTATCGAACACCTGCCTTAATTTACGATAAGTTATCAAATTGACTACATAGATGAGTTATAGTCGAATTCGGTATTAGAAAATGATGGCATTAGTCTTAGTAAGCTGGTCGCAAACAGTCGCGTTTGACAAAATGAGAAACCTGTGACAAACGAACGGTGCCATTCATTGATTTAGCCAGTTATCTCGAGAAGAACGATGAAGTTATTTATAACAGCATTAGTTATTTTAAGCTGTACGTACACCGTGACAGCAAGATGCGTTATGCGAGGGGAGTGTATAGAAATAAATGGATTTGCAAAACCGTGTCCGTTCCCGGAGGAAGCGCCACCGATTTTCCTCAACTTGACCGAGGTGGAGAAAAGTGAAATTAGGGACATTTTGGATTCGCGATGTCCCTTTTTAATGTACGACGAGTATGGCATCTTAAAGCCGGATGAAGAGATAGTGACGTGCTGCAACAGTGTGCAGTTGAGGAAGATGCAGGACAGTTTGATGATAGCCGAGGGCGTCCTTGGCAGATGTCCGACATGCTTAAGGAACTTCGTCAGGCAGATATGCGAAATGAACTGTTCACCGGATCAAGCGCGGTTCGTCGACGTCACATTGGTGGACGCAGGTGGTGTGGAGTACGTGAACGAGATTGATTACAGGATGCACGAGGATTTCATGTTGAACGCGCACGCCTCTTGTGCCGGTGTGATTGTGCCGCAAACCGGTTTGCCTGCGATCAACCTGATGTGCGGAAACGCCCCAGTCTGCGACGCGGAATCCTGGTTCGGATTCACTGGCGACACTCAGGCCAACCCCCTAGCTCCAGTCCAAGTTAACTTTTTACGATGGCCAACGGAGGAAGACTCTATGAACGCAAGAGCTCCACCGTGCTATGAGACGATGGGCGAAGACCTTCCATGCAGCTGCGTGGACTGTGTGGCATTGTGCCCCACTGGAAACGAGCCCGTACTACCAGATATATGCACCGTTCTCACCGTGAACTGCATTGGATTCTCCGTTGGAATCGTAGTCTTCGTTATCGGTGTTACGATATTTTGCATTCTCACTGTATTTGAATACAAGAGATTGAGAAGGGGCAAAATTGATAGTGGTAATACAAAGAATGTGCCTGAAGATAGTTTTCTTATCAAGTTCTTCCAAGAGTTCTTTGCCGCGATCGGAACTTTCTCGGCGAACAACCCCGTACTTATCATTATGATGACTTCCTGGGTGGCATTCGGCATGCTTTATGGAGTTCTAAATCTTAATCTCACAGCGAATCCAATTGAGCTTTGGTCTGCGCCAGATTCCCGTAGTCGGGCGGAACTTAATTATTTCAACTCAAGATTCGGGCCATTCTATCGGGCTGCGCAGGTTTACATCAAAATAACTGGCCTGAAGTCTTTCGAAGTAGACAACGTGACTTATGGCCCCGCATTTAGACTCGAGGCGTTGAAAGAGCTAGTCAAACTAGAAGACGCAATAATAAATATTGGTAGAAACAACAGTGGCGTTGTTTTGGAAGATGTTTGCTATGCACCTCTGCGTGTTCGCGGCGGTGAAAAAAATATCGGGCAATGTGTCTCGATGTCGGCCGCCGTTTACTTGGGCAGTGATCGACACAATATTAACAACGAAACCTATTTGAATACAATTCAAAACTGTCTAAACAATTATCTAGCCCTCAATTGCATGGCAGAGTGGGGCGGCGGCGCGGAGCCCGATATAGCATTTGGTGGATTTGATAGTGGCAATATTTTGAGCGCAAATACACTGCTTATTAACTTTCCGATAAGTAATTATCTCTTAGAGGAAGAAATGCGACCCGTTTTAGAATGGGAGCAGAATTTTATTGATTTGTTACATGACTACGAAGCGAACTGGAAGGCCGATTATGTAGAAGTGGCGTTTGGCGCTGAAAGGTCAATAGAAGACGAAATCGAACGTGTTTCACGTGCCGAAATTATACCAATAGCAGTGAGTTATATACTTATGTTTATATACGTGATAATTGCGTTAGGTAACGTAAGAAATTGCAAAACTTGGTTTATTGACAGCAAAATAACAGTTGCGATAAGCTGTATAATTGTGGTGTTAACATCAATTTATTGTGCAATGGGTGTTATGGGTTATGCTAAGATAACGGCAACATTGTTAGCGATTAACGTGATACCGTTCTTCATTTTATCTGTTGGGATTGATAACGTTTTTCTTATGGTCAATGCATTACATGATGTTCAATGTAATTTGAAATCGTATGACGATTATAACGAAAACTTTAGTAGAGCTAAAAAGCGTTCATTTGTGATTACAAAAATGATGAAGGCAGTTGGGCCGTCAATGTTTGTTACGTCTGTAACACAAATCACATGTTTTGCCATTGGCAGCCTTGCCAATTTTCCTGCTGTGGTTACCTTTGCTATATTTGCCTCTTTATCTCTAGGCTTTCTATTTATATTTCAAATAACAACTGTCGTTGCGATATTGTCGATCGATTACCAAAGAGCTAATCAAAACAGGTTCGATCTGCTTTGTTGCGTTCAGAAAAAAATTCTTAACGACAGGGATCCTTTAAATGCAGACACTCCGCACCAAAGCGTCGTTGCAAAACTTATGGTTCCTTACTCTAAATTCATTTTAAAATGGCCTGTCAAAATTGTAGTCACAATCATATTCTTTGCAATGTTATCAATAAGTATTGTATTAATACCGCAAATAGAAATAGGTTTAGATCAAGAGATGGCTCTGCCTCCTGATTCTTACGTTTATAGATATCTGCAGGCAGTGAACGAACTTATGCGTCTGGGACCTCCGGTTTATTTTGTGTTAAAATCCGGTTTAAATTTCACAGACCCCAACCACCAGAATGTCGTCTGTGGAGGACAATTGTGTTATGACGACTCGCTTGCGACTCAAATATTTTTAGCGTCGCGTCACAGCAATATCACTTTCATAGCCAGGAGTTCCAACTCGTGGTTGGACGACTTCTTCGATTGGTCTAGCTTACCAGGTTCCTGCTGCAAGTATAACTCCACAGATGGCAGTTTTTGTCAGAGCACAGACGTCTCCCCCGAATGTCAGTTTTGTTCGATCGGCAGACACGAATTCGGTAACGGTTTACGGCCAAACTCTAAGGCTTTCGAGAGGTATCTACCGTTTTTCCTACAGGACACACCAACGGACTTATGTAACAAAGGAGGCCTAGCGAGTTATTTCAGTCAAGTTAATTACTTACTAGACTCGGAGGGACGTGCAACTGTCTACGACAGCAGTTTCATGGCATATCACGTTGCTCTAGGTACGTCTTCCGACTACATATCTGCCGTTAAGTACGGTTATGAAGTTTCTGAAAACATAACAGAGGCGATAAAGAGGCACACAGGTATGGACGTGGAGGTGTTCCCGTACTCCGTGTTCTACGTTTACTACGAGCAGTATTTAACGATGTGGTCAGATACGTTTGCTTCTTTGGGATTCTGTCTTATAGGCGCAGTGGTCATAAATCTGCTTGCGTCAGGTTTCAACGTGGTGACAACGTTGACAGTTATGTTTACGGCGATAATGGTTGTGGTGGACATGATGGGTGTTATGTATATCTGGAGTATTCCACTGAACGCCGTGTCTTGCGTCAATTTGATCGTCTCAATTGGCATCGCCGTAGAGTTCTGCAGTCACATCGCTTACGCTTTCGCCACTAGCAAATGTCCGCCAAACGAAAGAGTTGCCGATGCAGTCAAAAGAGTTGGTGCAACAATTATTACGGGTATAACATTCACCAACATCCCTATTATAGTTTTGGCTTTCTCTTATACACAAATAATTGAGGTGTTCTTCTTTAGAATGCTTTTCAGCTTGGTGATATTAGGGTTCTTGCATGGTATGGTCTTCTATCCAGTATTTTTAAGTTACGTTAGTAACGTAGTAAGGAAATAACAGCATTTAATGTTTAAGTTTTAGGATCTCTCGTGCGTGTTATTTTTTTATATTTACATTATCACCCTGTTGGAAAGTTCAAAACAAATCGTAAACTTATGAATTCATTATATTTAAACGGTTTATTTAATAAACTAGCTTTAAGATTTAAAATCTGTTACTTACTTTTGTTATTTATGGAGTACTTTGTGTATTATATTGTGAAGTATTATGAATCGTGGGAATTGTAAATAACATAATTATATTATGCTATGATATAAAAAATAATGGAGAATTTTTTAGGTAATTTTATTTTTACCATTAGAGCAAAACATATGAAACGAAGGAAGACGTTGATTAAATGCAAAGCTATTTATGTACATAAATATTTAATCTAATGTTATAATTAAAATTAAATATAATTCTTAATGAAATTCATTTTTATTTACAATGTTTTAAAGAACCTTATTAATATTTTATGATAATGTAACATTACATACGAAAAAAGCGGTGTAAATTTATGTATTTACATAAACACATAAAAAGCATGGTAATCCGTGTGTTATTCAACATTAAAGTAATTTATAAAAGATAATAAGCTATACACTTCAGTGTTATCTGTTTGAATCATTATCAATTTTCGTCAGCACAATAAAATCTAATCTGTGTGCCCAATTTTTAGGCATACAAAAATATAGAACAATATCTCGTTTTATCTATGATATTTATAACCAAGTTTGAAATTAAATATTTTACGATTTTAAAAAGTATTAATGTTCATTGAGTCATGTTTGATTCATCTAATCTTGAGAATATATAACCAAGCGTAAACAGTTTCCTTAATAATAGGTGAATCAAGTCAAGTATTAAATTCAGGTGGAGGAAATTTTAATATTGAATTACTACACATTTTATTCTTTAACACATCGAAATCTAACTAAATCTATTTAAACATCTGAGCATGCATGTAACTATGTACATAATATTATGACAATTTCGAAGTGGTGCAATAAAAGTAATTCAAAATAATGACTAGTATTTGTATTAAAAATGTTTTCTTAAATGTAAGAAAAACGCAAGATTGTCCTTAATTGTAATTGCACATAAATTCAAATTATTTTAAATAAGTTTCAGGAGTAGTAACAAATAGATAAGATTAAGAAAATAATGTTGATAGACATTGATGATCTACCTAGATTAAATTTGCATGGCTTTCACTAATTAGTAAAGTTAATGACCCTTCGATCACGCATCCAGAACGTGATTTAGATATGCAATGTAACATATAGCGAGTCGTAAAATTTCGATCTTCGACAACTTCTTATCGGGTGGCAGGGTTGGGAGGAGGCTTCTCAAAGATGCAAATGCAGCGTTGAACGCCTCGACCCTTATTCTTTCCCTGGTAGCGTGTGCCGTTCTGTACTTCAGCGTCGCTCTTCGTCGTCTTCTGCGCTCTTCTCGAGAGAGGCCGGCGCAAGGGGAGCCCGTTCCACTTGAAAGATAAGCCTCTTCTGATAAAGCGCACGGCTCTAGTGCCCTTTCCCTAAACGAAAAAATAATACCTATAGTATTTTTTAACAATTAGAGTTAAGTTTTTATGCGACCATATTCATGCGTTTGTCACAGATATCATTGCGTCGAGGTTATATTTTATATAGCTCTTGTTTCACTAGCATATATTTACTGTGTGTAATCTCTTTATTAAAATCTCTTTACCATTTTACCAAAAGAAGGCTCACAAAAATTATTCCGCTAGAAGATTTTGAACGGTTGGTGTATTGCGAACTTTGTCACGAGTTCGTGAGGAGTTGAATGACTAAGAAGTGGAACAAAGGAAAAGGAAAGCTGGGGATATTTTTAGTTAGAACAATGAAATTTTTAGCCGCTACAGATGACCCGTTAACTATCCCAAAAAGTTTGTCTCGTGACCATGAACGCTGGAATGGTTTCGAAACGTCGGATATTAAGATAAAACGAAACATAACTCGAAAAGTTTCATTTAACTATTGATCCTATTCTTATACATATAGTTCAGATTTGCTTGTTTTCTTTCCGAATATTCCACTATTTAAGAAAATATTGAAAAGAAAGAGACATTAAGACTTGTACAGTAGACGTTGTAAATAAGCTAATTGGGGTCTAAGCAATAAGTTTGCGCCGACGTTTTTGAAAAACTGCTGCTAGCTAAACTCGTTTGAAACTTATAGAACTCAGAATATTCCTATATCTCAGTGTAGTATGTCTAATTGTGTGAACCTGCAGTAAAACAGTCTTATAACTGTGATATTAGGGGATGAATTTACAATTACCATAAAATTATCAAATTACTACCGTTTCCTTGGCGCCAAATTCTCTCTTCCAGTTATGGGCAACAAAGCTTCCCTCGTTTCTGCCAGCATACACGGCAAAGGGCCATCCTCCATCCCGCCGGCTGTCTCCAGCCAGCTCTTCATATTGCGTCTGATAATATACATGTTTTTCAAGCTTCATATCGTACATAAAACGGTCAAATTTAAAACTATCTAATTTCCTTCCACTTCACGCAGCAGCTTCTGCTAGTACACAAAATAATAAGCTTGTCTAAATAAGTATCAAAACCTCACAAAAGACTGAGGTAAAGTTGAAATTTGGGTGTCCATGGGTAGGGTAATCGCGTAGCTTCGGAGGAACTATCTGCTTGCTTACTACCTCCTACTATGTTAAAAACATCATAAGATACGGTTTATTGAGCTGCAGCATGATGTTTGCCGTGTCAAGGAATAAATAAATATGAATATTAATAAAAAATCGCCAATTATACGTAAATTGCACATATTTGGTATCAAAAATGTAATGTGTGCTAATTGTGAAAATCTAAAGGTATTAAAGACTAAACTATTTGCAGTAAAATAAGTATCAGATATTCCAGCAAAAGCAAAATATACTATACATATAATACTATAGAACATATAATTCTTAAGCAGATAATGTTTAAATAGTTCTTCTAGTTTAATGTTTCACAAAATATGTGGTGTAACTATTTCTTTGAACCAAAACGGATTCTCCCAGTGCCTGTATCCTTAACCCTTTGTAGGCGCGACACGTTTTGTTTTCGTACGTACAAATCAAATTTACCGGCCGCAGGGGTATGGAGTGGTAAGAATAAATAATACATCACGAGTTCACACCTAACACTAAGCGAGCTCTTTAGGGGATAATAAATCCGTATTTATTCTTTTTATATCGGCCCTCGTCCCTCCGCCCTTTAGTAATCGAATCATGCTCGCTAACCGTATCGAATAGATTGGACTTTACTCGTCTGCTCAAATACTTATGAGATCCTGGTACAATGAACAAAATTATGTTATATTAAAGCTATAGGTTTGTTTATGCAACACAATTGTTCTCTGTGCTCAGCGGCTTTTTCTTATTAATCAACTAGCTGCCCGGACAGACTTCTTTCTTTTTTTTTAATAGTATTAAAACCTTCCGTGGACCTTAAGGAACATACAAAAAAATAATTTAGCCAAATTAGTCGAGGCATTCTTGAGTTATGCACTTCCCAACATTCATTTTTATTAGCAATGTTAAAATGTGCATTAAGAATTAGGTATACAGAGAGCTAAAATGTAATATAGGTGTATAAGTTCTTCAAATACATTGAATGCTAATGTATTTTAAACGGTCGGGTTGAATGACTTTTATTAAAAGAATTGAATAAATTATTGACCAAATTAAAATCGAATTTAAATTTATAATCTAATTAATATATATTTTTGTCACACTTCTGCCTGAATCTAAACAAATATTCTAAAGCCGGGGCGATATCGGCCATCTTTTAGAGTACCATTTGACTTCTTTTCACCATAATGGAAGATTACTTGAAAATCAGCCATTCTTGATGCAAAAACGATTATTAATTAATAACAACTTCTGCTGCTGCATGAATGTGTCGGCTCGATCATAGAAGTACCAAGGTTCCAAAGAAGAGTGGTGTAAAATTAAGGTACCTAACAAATCTGTGATGAGTTAAGTCACCTCTTAAAGGTTGAAAACGCCTCTGGTGTCATGGGGCGGTAATTATTTACCATATTGTAAGCCGTTTGTTTTTATATAAGAAAGCGGCTAGTAGGTGGTTCACCTGATGTTACTTGATTGCCTGGTAGCATGAATGTCAAAAATCTGGTCCATGGGTGTCATGGTAATCGACAACCATGGAGGAATTAGCAGCAACCAATTCAAAGTAAATGAATAAATAACACCGCTGTCCCAATTTACAGAAAGATAACCTAAGAAACTCAGTACCGTGAGAAACAACAAAAAAATCACATCAAACCTTGCCCTAACTCGGCTACAAACAATTATAGGAATTACGACTGGAACCAACGTTACTCGCCAGACTGCTCTATATGATTTTTTTAAAAGAATTTGGATAAGTTATTGCTGAGAAAGTATTCCAAATCTGACGAAGCGATGAAAACGCTGGTAAAGAATTCAGGGATGCTCATTCCGTTTATTGTTGTGTATCCTTCAGAAAACTGTTTTACAATGAATTTAAATCTTGAAAAATGTGTGGTGTTTCTGAGTGGTGTGACTTGACAACTTAACAAGAGAGTTACCAGATACTATAATTGGCATTCAGTGATGAAACTTTATGTCTTAGCTTTTGTAATTGTGGTTGGGAGAATTAAGAGGTGGACCTGATAATCTTATGATGATATCGTGAAGGTAGGCTGGCGAATGCGGTTACACAATTTGATTGGAACTGACAAACAAAAGGTACTGTATGTATAAAACATTGGAACGAGTAGAGCCGAGTGCAGTTTTACATTTGCATGTAGAAATTCTAAAGCATTCGATGGATACGACATAAATAAACGGAAAACCAGAAACAACTGCGTGTAGAGTGGTGGCGTAAAATGATAAAAAATTTTAAAGATGGGGAATTTATTGACTTTCAACAATATCTTGACAGGTGACGAAATCGGGGTGTACTGCTTTATGCCGGAACGAAAAAGCCCGTCGGTAGAATGGCTCTTTTCTTTTTAAGACTTGCTAACTAAAGTTAAGAAAAGTCGTTGATCCATCAAGTAAATTATTGCTTAATATTTTGGGAATTTATATTACTTTACACAAATTATATTACTGTGGCACTTGAAAACCAAGGGACAGGGCCTGCAAATTGGTAAACATTTTCTTGCATTTCACGAAGGGCCTTCCTCGCAATAATGCCGTCCTATATCATGATAACGCTTCTGCACATCCCTTTAAAATAACAAATTTTCAAGTTCTTAAACGGGGAATTGATAACGTTTGCTGTTAAAACCAAAGTGAACGTTGATTTTTATTACGTTTCAAATAATTGCGATGATTTGTTCTACCAATAAATGTTGAAAAAAGCTAAAAATTAACAGGTGCGAAGAACATGAATGAATAAATGTTAGGGAGAAATAAAATATAATAAATATTCAACATTAAAAAGTAACTAGCAGCTATTAAAATTAACAGCTTAATATTTACGATTGAAATAAAGCTGTGTAACTGATTATTTGTTCATACATCTCTGTTTTTTTAAATAAAAAACTCATTGCCATATCTTTATTTCAACACATTGTAGTAAATCATATATGCCTCTATAGGCAAATATTTACACATTAACTGACTTCAAAAAAGTTATTTTTTATGGTTGTTACCTCCTCTAGAACTTTCGACAGGGTGAACCATTTTTTTATTGAAAAGCTGCATGGTGCTTCTCGTTTCAATTTGGTTCAGTTCTGAGAATGGCATCCATGAGAAAACTATATGTCTTAAATTTGCATTAAGTATGTGAAAGAAATGTGGACGAATAACTTAATATCACACCAACCGATTTCGATGATTCTTTTTTATTGGAAAGAAGTTGTACTTCAAGAGTAGTGTAGTGTTGAAGTGTAGATGAGATGAGACTTTTCCATAAATTGTTAAATTTGAGGTTAGATAGGTTAGTACATAGGTTAGATTTTCAAGATTTGATTATATTAAATTTAGTATCATTTTAAACTTTTTAGTGCTAAAAGTTTTTTTAAAAAATGTTTATGTAGATCTGCCTGTTTATAACATTTACATTTTCTTTGATATTTCAAATCATATTCTTGTGCTTATTCATAACTTATGTAATAAAGAACTGAACATAGCTGAGATATAAGTAGGATTCACATTACAATAGAAAAAGAGAAAATTTACTTTCAACGGTGATATAAAAAAACCATTGATACTTCATACTCACGTTTTAATTAAAATTTGCTTCAATATCACACAATAATTAACCGTAACCAATTCTTAACACAGTTTGACTAATACATTGCACGGGTCGCTTTTGCACGTACTGGTCCAGATTTTAACAGACCCCCGTTTTTATCTGACGTGAAAGAGGGAAGGTCTTCTTCCCTCTCGGGAGGGCGGTGCCAAAGCGTGCTAATTTTAGGGTTCGGCAAAGACACAAGTCGATTACAGAAATATTCATAAATGCACTGGCAAATTCCA